TGCCTGTGGTGCAGAGACACCTGCCTGTGGTGCAGAGACACCTGCCTGTGGTGCAGAGACACCTGCCTGTGGTGCAGAGACACCTGCCTGTGGTGCAGAGACACCTGTCTGTGATGCAGAGACACCTGTCTGTTATGCAGAGACAGGTGTCTCTGCATAACAGACAGGTGTCTCTGCATAACAGACAGGTGTCTGTTATGCAGAGACACCTGTCTGTGATGCAGAGACACCTGTCTGTGATGCAGAGACACCTGCCTGTGGTGCAGAGACACATGCCTGTGGTGCAGAGACACCTGCCTGTGGTGCAGAGACACCTGTCTGTGATGCAGAGACACCTGCCTGTGGTGCAGAGACACCTGCCTGTGATGCAGAGACACCTGTCTGTGATGCAGAGACACCTGCCTGTGGTGCAGAGACACATGCCTGTGGTGCAGAGACACCTGCCTGTGGTGCAGAGACACCTGTCTGTGATGCAGAGACACCTGTCTGTTATGCAGAGACAGGTGTCTCTGCATAACAGACAGGTGTCTGCATAACAGACACCTGTCTGTGGTGCAGAGACACATGCCTGTGGTGCAGAGACACCTGTCTGTGATGCAGAGACACCTGTCTGTTATGCAGAGACACCTGTCTGTGGTGCAGAGACACCTGTCTGTGATGCAGAGACACCTGTCTGTGATGCAGAGACACTTGTCTGTGGTGCAGAGACACCTGTCTGTGTGGTGTTCTGCATTTTTGTGTATTATTGGTGGTTTTATTGGTGGTTTTATTGTATTATTGGTGTTTTTTGTAGCCGTGGCTTCGTGTCAAGTTATACAGATTTTCTGTAAAATAGATGGGTTTTCCCCTATTTTACATACAGACCTATAGGACTGTCTAATAGATGTTTTTTTATTATAAAGTTATGAAGTTCAGAGCTGGCAGTCACTCCCTCCCAGCTCTTTCTACCGCTGCGGACATGCAGTCAGAGGCGTAACCCCGCCGCTTCTCCGCGTCGGGCAGGTCCGTTCACTCCCAATTGAAGGGCTAGGTGTAAAATGCACGGCCCACCACTGGCATTAGAAGAACCAATCCAATTTCTTGAAGACAAGTGACCTGAGAGAGCAATTCGCAACTGCTGCCATCTCTATCATGCCCCGTGTGTTGGGTTTCACCCTGGTTGCGATGACAGCCATTAATCGCTGTCATTTGTCGTTCCCCGTATGTCGATCTCTGTTTCTACTCATGTGGGTGAGCCTTGACTTGAGTAGAATGGGAATCCAGCTGTGGATCAATCCACAGCACATCAGAGGAAGGCAGAGTTAAAATCCCTGAATTGGTAATGAGGCCTAAGAGGGCCTACGGGAGGGAAATAGCTTCATCCAGTCTTTTTATTTTTCTGTGAAAGACAGCACCCCTGACACCCATCTCCTGCTCTCGCTCTTTCTTTCATCATTTGTCTGCAAAGGGAGAAATGTGGTGCTCTAAGTGAAAAAAATAAATAAATTACAGATTGTCTCAGTGTCTAAGGGCTTGTTTCACATCTTGTCAGAGTCCACATGCAGGAAAAGGATATTGATTAAGACCAGTGAGCCAATCAGAGGCTGAATTAAACTATGAATAAATGAGGTGCGGCAGCTGGGACATTTTATCCCACTAGAGAGGTTAGAATCCATGTCCAGGTCTTCTGTATAAGAGTTTTAACACTGCTGTATCACAAAAGACACATGTTTGTGTTAGTTTTCATGGAACGATGGGATCCAAACACTAATAGTAAAATAATTTGTTGAACATGTTTTAATACTGGTCAAAATGTAAATATTAGGTTGTTATGATGGTTATTCCTTTTTGGTTAGATGATCTTGGTTTGGGGATGCAGATAAAAAATGGCTGCTCTCTTCTGGGGAGATTCAACAAATTAGCACAGATTATTTGGTAAGTGTTTTACACTGGATCCCCTTCCTGATACAATCTGAGCTTGTGACCTTATTTGGGCATAAAATGAGTGTGTGAGTGTGTTTTATTATGATCCCAATTTGAAATATTGTAGGGGAGTGACTTATGTTAAATAAGCCTCTCTACATCTTCTCAAAACAAAGTTATGAGAGAAATTTTTACCAAGGTTTTTCTCATTACTTTAATATTTGACTGTGCAAAGTGAAGAGTGACACAATAAGGGAACGTCAGACGAGTTCAAGTTGATTCATAAAAGATTTTGCAATCATTTATTTACACAAATTGAACAGATCATAAGTTACACCTGATTGTGGGTTATTCCTATAACAAGTGTCAGAGTTAAATGAGATAAAACTCGCGTCCGAATTTCAGTTCACATTAAACTCAGATTACTTATATAGACAGTAAAACGTCAGCTCTGATGTTAAAACTAAACAATTCTACTGGCACTTTAACTTAAGGTTGGCAAGGAAAGGATAAGAAAAGATGATGAAATTAAAGGTTAGTGTTTCTGCTTTATTTTATCAAAGTGTGGTCAGCCGGATCAGCACGTCCTTTCTGCACTTAGATTCCACATGACACGTCACTCCGAACACGTCAGCTTTTACCTGGTGATATCTTCTTAAGGCACCCCTGGGTATGAACTGGCTCACCTCCGACCATCCAGGGAACTTGTATCAGCTCGCTTACTGGTCCTTGGCGAGTAGGTGTTTTTCAGGTGACTTTTCGTCTGTTTCAGTCCAAGCCAAAAAGATTCTAGCTGAAGTTTCCGGTCCCTTCTTTTCAAAATAAAATCTCCCCTCGGGAGGCAAAACACACTTAAGAGACGTGGGTCTCTGGGTGGACAGAAGGCGGCTTGCCTTCGTCCGGGCCTTCAGATTTCACCCTATTTGGCTGATGGGAGAGACACAGAGACTCTTCTTCCTGAATGCCGAAACGGGAAGACCGGCTTCTTCTCTCCGGAGAACCAGCCTGGCCTCAGATCTCGCCCATCAGCCAAATAGGATCCAATATTTGCGTTTTGACTCCCACCACCCACTGGAACACAAGTTAGGAGTGATCAGGACTCTGTACCACAGAGCAGACAGTGTCCCTACAAACCCAGGAGCCAGGCAGAAAGAGAAATCACACACACGACAGGCCCTGGAGCAGTGTGGTTATCCTGACTGGGCTTTCTTGAAAGCAGACAGGAAACACAGACAGGATTCCATGCAACCTTCAGGTGAAAATGAAGACCCCAAACCCAGACCCAAACCAGTGGTTATTCCGTATGTTGCGGGTGTTTCGGAGAAACTGAGACGTTTATTTTCTAAACATGATGTCCCAGTAGCTTTCAAACCCCAAAACACATTACGGCAAAGGCTGGTTCACCCCAAAGATCCGGTGCCCCGGCACAAACAGAGCAATATTGTATATGCTGTTAAGTGCCAGGAGGACTGCGACCAGTTATACATCGGGGTAACAAAGCAACCACTGTTCAAAAGAATGTCCCAACACAGACGAGCTACGTCTAATGGCCAGAACTCTGCAGTTTTCACTCATTTACAGGCCAGCGGTCACTCTTTCAGAGATGAGGATGTTCTCATTCTTGATAGGGAGGAACGTTGGTTTGAGAGAGGAGTAAAAGAAGCCATTTTTGTAAAGAAAGACCGTCCGTCATTAAACAGAGGTGGGGGCCTCCGTTTTCAGCTGTCCCCCTGCTACAGCGCTGCCATTGGCAGTATCACTCCACCCCCTGTTAACAAAAGGTATTAATTAGGGTGAACGATAGCCATGTGATGTGAGTATGAGTCACCTGTGAACGATGGTCATGTGATGTGTGTATCAGTCACCTGGAGGCAGGACTCAAAAGCCTGAATTTTGCCTGAAACTCTCAGACTGAAGAAGTCTCTTGGAAGAGAGACGAAACGTTTCATTAAAGAAGAACCCGTCCAGAGGACCTATACAATTTTTTTTCCTTTGATATTTTACCTGGATTACTGAGATGCATCAGGATACTGTCTATATAAGTAATCTGAGTTTAATGTGAACTGAAATTCAGATGCGAATTTTATCTCATTTAACTCTGACGCTTTTTATAGGAATAACCCACAATCAGGTGTAACTTATGATCTGTTCATTTTGTGTAAATAAATGATTGCATAATCTTTTATGAATCAACTTGAACTCGTCTGACGTTCCCTTATTGTGTCACTCTTCACTTTGCACAGTCAAATATTAAAGTAATGAGAAAAACCTTGGTAAAAATTTCTCTCATAACTTTGTTATGAGAAGATGTAGAGAGGCTTATTTAACATAAGTCACTCCCCTACAATATACTTGTGTTGTAACAAAATATGAATAAAATATATGCGAGGATACACCATCACCCTCCTCAGTCCAGAGTACATCACAACTGAAGTTTGATTTGTGAAAATCACACAGATATTGATATACTACAAACCTTTTCAATTTCCTCTGGAGGTTCTTCCAAAAGRCAACAACAATAATAATAAAAAAATCTTAAAATTATTTTCTTTTGAGATGCAAATATTGTATGTGAATTTTGAAAATATTTGCAAATTTACTGTTACGAACACATAAAATGCTGTTGATTCAGGCTTGGTTAGATTAGCTGCTTGTTCTTCACTGCTTTTAAATAGAACATTAGCATGACATATTTCCAGAATGTTCAGCCTTCTTATGATGTAAGGCACATTTGTACAATTAGGTCTAAATTGTAAATGAGTTGGAACTTGTTCTTTCTCTTTCTGGTTTAGCTGCTTCATTAATATGTCTTTTTTATGTAATAGGACTAGCATTCACAATCAGTTGCACTGAAGCCCTGGCAGCTGGTGGTCACCATCTTGAATGTGAAAATATATACGTAAGTGAAATTGGGAATGTTCAGTTTATTAGAATACTGGTGTCGTGTGATCAACAAGACTGAAAAGCTTTGGTATTTTAACTGTGGATGCAACTGAATAAAATGTGTGACTTTACAAACATTTAGCATTAAAATAAAAACAAAAATGGCATTAAGAGCAAAATATACCTCCGCTACACCAGTGATACTCATGAATTTAAAAWATATATATATAATTTAAAATAAGTTGATTGTTGTGCATTAACTAGTTTCTTCTTTTTTTTTTTGATCTTTCTGCTACCAGTCAAAACAGGAGCAGATGTCTTAGACACACGTAACCAAAACTGTTCTAATTTCCCTTTTGTTCCTGTACTTTTTAAAAAAGACAATGCTGTTTTTGGTGGRGATAAAGTCAAACTTAAGTGATACATCCATTAGAAAATCATTACCAAATGTGTCTTACTATTACTGTTTCCACCCTAAAGAAATCATTTCACATCTTTGTGTACAGGACAAAAGCATTATCATCTTCTCATTTTTTGCATCATTATCTCCTACTTCCTAAAGCCCATTTTCCTCTTCCAGCTGCAGAGGTTTTTTTTTGTTGTATTTGTGTGTACATGCTAATTTGTGTAAATGTGTACAGTAAATGGTTTACCAGATGGCTTGTCTTGGTTGCAGTTCAGTAGAGTTGGGTTCGCCCCATGCCTTAGGAGCTTGTTAACAATGCTTGTCTGTGAGAAATGGGAGACAGATATTTCACATTTATTTTCACTTAATCTTTGAAAGAAATTGTTGAAAGCAAAAAGTGATTTTTGTACAGAATTTCCCTTTAAAATGGTATTACAGCTGCACACACAGATATGACACATTGACACATCACACTTGAAGATGTCACACACACACACACACACACACACACACACACACACACACACACACACACACACCCACATATAC